ACAACAAAAATTTCTGCTAAATATACTAAAAAAGCAATAATGGGAAATTATTAGAACAAAAAAAAATTATCGAAAATAAAAAGAATTATATATTATCTAGCGTCAAAGTCTTAGGCATATTTACATTAAAAAACCTGATAGTTGAGACTTGAGAAACATTAGTGATTTTCTGGTCATTTCAAGGTTTGATCTAATAAATCTTTTCATTGTTTGATGTGTCGTCAACTGTTGCTTACGGTTTTAGGACATCAGACGGATATAACTTTAAATTGACTGCAACATTACACTAGTCTCTTGTTTTATATCTTTTACAATTGTTATTTTTGATACCACAGTAAATTTTTTGTCTAAGTAGAAAAGAGAAACAAGCAGAAATAAGTGTAAATAAGATAATGACATCAAACTATGGAAGGAATATCTCGAGAGACTAACGGCAGAGAAAGACGCTTTAACAATGAAACCTATTGTTTACTAAAATTCAGTTAACAATAATTCAACGCTTTGATATACAGATATTAAATCTGAACACTGTTTGTACAAATATATCTTCAAGGTGATACAGCTGTTTAGAAGGCGACTGGTTCTCAAATTTCGAATAAAAATTTGAATCACAGCTATGAAGACGGTAATGACAGTGACAACAGTTGCTGTTACTACTATGAGAACTTCGACGGTGGTGACAGAGGTGGCTAAAGCATAATTCATAAAACAGTGCAAAAACAATGTATTAAAGAATTATATACAGCAAAACTAAATTTTTTTTATCCTTATTAAATACGTTAATTTTTAAGAATTCCATCGAAGTCTACATAACAGACTACCAACTAAATCACATTTCGCGTAATCGGCATTATAATACAAATTTCCTGAGCATTCATACTGCCGACTTATTCCGTCGCACAGGAACATTCTTGACTTATCAAATAAGTCTGGAAACACAGATAAATCTTGATCAGATTCTGGATTTATTTTAGCACCTGGTCGACCGCCTTGTGCTTGTACATCACATTTTGTTAAATCGGTATTATAAAGTAGGCCAACCGGACACTGCAGATGATAGACACCACCATTGCAAATAAAAAATCGTTTACAATTTTTCGGATCCGGAAATGCTGTTTGTACATATTCTGGGCCAGATATTACCTGAATTTTTTGTCTACTTTTTGGTCTGGTTTCTCGTTCGGCTAGAACAGAACAAGATAATTAACACACAAAACAGCAAATTTGTAACAAAAAAAACCATAAATATTTTATAACTATTTTTACGTATTTCAGCCAAAATAATAATTATGATAAATCAAAAAACAAAGACAAAAAAAAATAATAAAAGCAAAACAAAGCTTAAGAAAGCATAAATCTTTCTCATAATCATTTTTTTATTCAACTGTTCTTAAACTTTCAAGGTACTGTTAAACAAGTATAAAATATTTTAAGAAAACTGCTAATTAAAAAGTACCGATTAACATAATGCATTATTATCAAATCAGGAAAGAAAAGAAATAATTGGAAAAACGAAGATACAACAAAAAAAAAAAGCTGTGATAGGTAATAAAAAGAAGGAAAAGAAATACCAGGATATCTACCTTGTTCAATCTGAAAACTGGTCACTATTGGACAGATATAGAAAAACCATATAAAAAATGCTATTTTCATGGGGTTTTTCCGTTTTTTGATATATCTGTAGAAAACTGCATTATTATATAAGCAGTAAAGTTATATGCTTAAGCAACAATAAATTGCAAAAACGATAATAGCAATAAATATGCAAAAAAAAAAAAAAAAAAAAAAAAAAAAAAA